TTTTGCCACTGCTCAGCTTTAGCAGGACAGAGCCGACCACAGTATCACAGCTCTCCCTTGAATCATTAAATATTAGAAACAAAAGTTGGAAGGTGTGTTTTTCACTGCAGTTGCAGGTTTAAACCTCTGCAGAAGTCCACAAATGTTCGCAGCCCCTCCCAGCTCAATGGCCTGCAGCACCTTATAAAGCCTCTGGGATTTTGCTCTCGTTCACAGCTGGGCTCTCTCGCTGCGCTTGGTGCCGCATTCAAAATCAGGCACATTTTTCATTGCCCTTCCAGGCAGTTTACCTCCAACTGCAGCCCCGGGCTATGAGCCAAGCCAAGGGGCGAGCCAGCTAGCTGTCTCCGTTCTCTGGGACCTGAGAGCAAGCAGCGCTCTCCAGTTGCTGCGAGGATGAGGTCAGTCTCCCCTCAACGCTAAAAGCTCTGCTTGAAAAATTGCTGAGCTAGCAGAAACTGCCACTTCAGTTTTACCCATTTCCTGTTATTAGATAAAACAGCACCAGGGAACTGAGCTGCTGGTAGCCTGGGCTTTTGCCACGTTACAGTTACCACTACAGCCACTGCCTTCAGCAGGTGAATACTGGCACGTCTTGATTTCAACAGGAGCCAGGGCACAGCATGAATTATTTGTGGTAAGGCTGACCTATTTAACAGCAGAAAGACAGCATTCATTCGAGCCCAGATTCCCCGGAGGCTGCTGGTGTCACTTTACCCCACAGGATAATACAACCTGTCGCTATCTCTGGGCATCTCGGCTTGTGGGAGGTGTGGTGGTTACTGTCCAGGCTGCCCCTGCCATGCTCTCAACGTTTCTCTTGGAGGCGAAGTGACACGTCTGCATCCCTTTCGATGCAAGCTACTCGTGGCCTGCAACTGGCTTCTGGTGATGAGCTTTGATCAGTGTTTTGTGACAACCACAGACAACACACAGAGGAAGCAGAGCAGGGTGAAGTTCACAGGGCCTTGAAACAACAGAGAAGTCACTGCTGGCAGCCCCGTTTCAGGCAGACCAGGGCCAGGGGATATGCAAGCAGTGTTTGCAGGGTGGCTGCCAAGTTCTGCAGCTATTCAGGATGCCTCTCTGCACAGCTCCTCCTAAGCTCTTGTAGTCTCTAATATTGGCTCCCATCCTCGGTGCACAGGCCAAGGCAGCCTGTGAAGGGGTATTTCACATCAAGAAGATGCTGAAGTCTTGATCATGCATTTCTCTAGACCATCTCAGAATCACAGGTCACCCCCACGTTTTTGCAAACCTTACCTTTGTCTGCCAGAGACAATGTGCTGTTGAAGTACTGCTCCTCCACAGTCCATGCTGTGTCATTGATCTTGTTAGACACCCCACAGGATCCAATGCAGCTCACTTTGATGGCTGTTGAGAGAAAGCACACACATAAGCACTGGGAGAAAGCAAAACCTCAGGTTCAAACTTGCTTCAGGTAGTGTATGTGGACTTGTGCAGCAGCAGTGAGTGCCTCATGAAAACACACACAGAGTGGAAAAATGGACCAAAAGAATCAGGTCATGCTTTCATTTCAGAAGACATTTTCCCCTTACTCTCTGCACCATTGCACACTCCCTGCTACCCCAGTGCTATTCCCAGATGGTATCACCGTCGTACCCCTCGTGCTGGCCTCCTCGGACTGTGAAAGCCTTTAACAGCAGTGATTTTCCGGTCCCCAAGAGGTAACCCTCTCTCTAGTTTTCTCCCAAATGAACCAACATCCCTCCCAACACGTGCATCAGCCCCCGCACTCAGGCTGCCAGCAGAGACCTCTGTGGCAGCGATGCCCTCCTACACACTCGGGTGTCCCGGTCCAGACAGGAATGAGTGGCAGAGGGCTCTGCTGCCGACCACCCCACAAGGAGCCAGGCATCCCACTGGCCGTCCCGCCAGCCGTGGAAGGAGAGATGCGCTCAGGACGAGCCCTTTAGCCAACTAAACAAGGTGTATAGCCCTGTCTACAGCAGCAGCAGCGAGCTGGACCCTCCAGCGCAGCATGAACAAGCCCAGCTGCTGCTCGAGTTCACAGCCCACCCACTCTCACAGACAACCCCAGTCCCTGGGAGCTGCCCCCGTGTCCTGGGGTCAGTCTCTCTACTTCAGAGTACAGCAGTAACACTTTGCCTGTTAATATTTGTCCTGCATCAGGACTTCTGATCATACTTGATAAGCATGTTGCTTCTCAGCAGCCAGAGATCACTCTGAGTGGCTTCCTCCTCCTGTTAGAGGCACAGGGCTCACAGCAAAGCCACACAGCAAGGTCTGGAAGCATTTGAGATGCCACTTGACCTTCCCAAAGAAAGGAGAGGAATTTGAGCCATGTTTGTGCCCTGCCTTGAGAAAGTCACCCCAAAGCTTGCCCTGCACCGTGGCTTTCAGAAGAGCTACTTACAAGACTTTTTCAGTTAGTCTTGGCCAATTCACAGCAGGTTGAAATCAAGCTCTGATGTCAACACTGGACCAGAGAGACAGGCAAACGCAACAGACCAGCCTTGTTGCACTGCAGACGATCATCTGCGGTGCTACTCCCACACAGGGAGGACGCAGGCAGACCTATCATGGAACAAACTGGACCTTCAGGGTCGTCCCAGCCTGAACATCTCCTGTCTTGATTCTCACCAGGTTTTGCAACAGCTTTAATGCATCCCACAGAACTCCCTCACCAAATTTGTCAGGTGAATAGTTCTGCTGGCAGGAAGGTGGCAGGAACTACCAGACAGACTCTTTTCCCATTTCACCCATCTGCTCCCCTGTATTCAAGCCATGTCTCAGAGGAAGCATCTCCCTGGGAGGCAGGCAGCCAGTCTGCGTTGGCTTAAGAGCTCTCCCCCTCCCTCCTCCACAAGGCTTCTCAGCCATACTGATCACACCACCTCCACCCACCTACCCCAACACTGAGGGCTGCAAGCGATGCTGCTTGCAACCACCTCAAACAGCTCTCCAGAGCACCTGCCTGGCCAGCATGACCACGTCCTCCACGCTGACTCAAGACAAGGTGGAAAGAAACCCCAAACCCATCCCTCTCTGCAGTGGGAATGCATAGTTCTTACCCCAGCCCCCTTACCTGTGCTTTGCTACATGCATTCGGGTGGAATGGGCTCCTCAGGGCTTAAAGTCTCAAATCCCACAACAAAGAATGGCCTTTCCTCATCAGATCTGCTGCAATACCTTCACAGCCTGATCATGACTTTGAACACCAGAGCCCATCCAAGTGCTGTTTTATACTCAAGGGCAAGGGATAAGCAGTTCCAGGTGCCAACTCTCATTAACAAAACATCAATATAGCAGCAAGGCTGACACATCAGCTCGCTTGTTTGTGCCTGCGATGTGCATCGGCACTTCCCAAGCAGTGGACGAACAGGAGATCACGGGACCTGCCTGCACCATGGCACCCAGCACACCTGGTCTGAGCTGACACAGATCCCCTCCCAAAGCAAACCATGACACTGAACTCTGCTGCACACCCCTGAGTGACCTCTAATCCTCTCTTTTGCCAGACGGCACAGCCAAACCCACATAGGTGTTTCGACATCAGAGGGAGCAGGGAGCTGTTTTAGCAGGGTGGTATCCTGTGTACACAGGCATTGGTACCAGCTCTCATGCCCCTGCCTTGTGTATACCGCCACGTCTCTGGGCCCACGACGAGCTGCCCTGCTCCAAGTTAGCCCAGATAACTCAGATGGCTCAAGTCAAAAATCAAGACCAGGCTCAAACGCTCTACTCCCACATTTTCACACAGGAGACACGAGTGAGAAAAGTCCAGCCAAGAATGGGAGAACATTCACATCCTCCAGGAGCAACAGCCCCTGAACTGGCTCCCCCTCAGACTCCCTTCGCCACAGAAGTTTCTAGATCACCACCATCTGTTGCAATGCCCAGATAAAGGGATGATGGTCTTTAATTCAAGCCCACTTGCTGCATTGCGGTGCTGAGACACTCCTGTTCCTGGGAGGCGGGTGGGTGGGCATGTTCAAGCACGTACACACCATGGCCCATCTCCCTTCCCACAGGAGACAAGAGACTCAGTAACCAAAGGCAGTGGGTTTGCAGCCTGACACTCAGAGACAACCCTTGGCTGGTGGTCCCTCCCTATAACCCACCACGAGGGCTAAAGTCAGACCGTGTCTAAAAGTCTCACTGCAGCTAGCTAACGAGTCCTCCATCGCAGGCACAGGAGCTGTAAGCTCCAAGGCTTCTCAATTAACCAACATCCCAAACTGGTGTGGCTGCAGGCAGCCTGTGCCTACAGAGGAGGGATGGTTCAAGGAGGGAGAGCTCGGGCACCCCAGTCCTGTGTCCACACCGAGGCAGCCCTCTCCAGCCACATTTCTGACCGTCACGCACCCTTGGGGCTGCCATTCCAGGTGCGTGAGGGCAACCAAAGGGGCAGAAAGCAGTATTTCAAGCCAAAAAGCTTGAACGTGATTTCACAGCAGTGGAGAAACCCTCTCTCTTATCCTCTACAATCACCAGAGTTGCCAGCACACTGTCACCAGGCACATCAAGCCTTCAGATGTAAGACAAGGGCAAGACTCAGAGCAGCTCAGGAGGCAAAGGATTTGTCACAGAGCATCTTCTCCAAACCTACTCCAGGTTTTGGAGCAGCTAATCATGAAATTGGCCTCTCCACGAGCATCCCATGGGCAGAGGAAGACACTGGGGCCTTGCCCGGCTGTTGTGCACGGGCTCCTGCGCACAAACGGGAGGAGGGACACGGGGTGGTTGACAGGCACAACTTGGGCACATGGCGCCGGGTGTAGCGGCAAGCCAAAAACAGTGTCGGTGGGACAGGTCTGGCAAACTGGCAGCATCGGAGCTGCTGCAACTGGAACCACCTGAGGTGCAAAGCTCGTCAGCCTGACTGTCAGGAAGCGAAATGCGCAGTCTGAGCCTTTCCAAGGAAATCTCTGTGCCAAGCTGCAGATAGAGCAAATAGGAAAAGTTTCTACATCAGAACAGGCCAGTTGCAGTTATTAGAAACCCATTAAAAACACCTCTGGAATCCAGTGCTACCAGTGGCCCCAGTTACCATGCTCCTGCTCCCTGTTTACCCAGGCTGCTTTGAATAAATACAGAAAAAAAAAGTAAAAAAAAAAAACTGTAAGGGAAGTGGAAGGGGGAGGTGAAGAGCAGCAAGCAGATGAGAAATGAAGTACAAAGCCATGCAGAAGAGAAGAGCCCTTCACCCTGCAGTCCCCCGGGCACTCAGGGAAGCAGGCAGCTTCGCATCCAGCCAGACACATCTTTAGCAATGCGCTACAGCACACGCCAAATGCTGGAAATAAAAGGAGACAGCTCAGCCATATCCATCTCTGCACAAAGTAAAAATAGAGATGCCAGAAGCTGGGCACGTCTGCCTTCTTCCAAGGTGATTTAAAGAGAGCGGCCATAGACTTCAAATTATTTTTTCTGGTGACCCAGTGAGCTGCCCTCCTCGGGGAAGCTGGCATTGCACCTCGGGCAAGAGGAAAGCAGAGGACGCGCATCCCCCTCCCCTGCCAGAGCAAGTTGTACGTGCACATCCCCACTTCCAAAATCCAGTCCTGTCCTGAGCAAGCAGAGAGTCACCGGCCACCCTGCGCTTCGCAGCAGGGCCAGCCCCAGTCCCAAGTGACCCCCTCCGGCTTCAACTCCCATCTATGTCACAAACCCGCTGCGACAGGTACGGGCAACAGACAGCGGTGAAGGGCAGGAGGTGCCGACAGCTTGGTTGGTTTAGGTTTTCTGGGGTGGGGAGGGGAAGCAGCAAATGATACAACAGCTTGGGGTGGTGGCTGTTGCATTTGGTAGCAGCTTAAGAGGGGACAAACAGACCGTCCCGTTGTTCCCCTTCACAAGGACGGACTAAGAGCTGCCGACAGGTCTGAACCGGCACTTACCAACAGCCCTGGGTTTCTGAAAGCTGAAGCCTACTGAGTCAGCACACGGGCTCGGCCATGTCTGTTGGACCCGGAGGCTCCAGACGTCCCTGGCGTGGGGCAAGGGATGCCCAGCCCTGCGAGCGCGGGATGAGATGGATGGCAAAGCCATCCCGTGTGTCTGCACCGACCACACGCAGCACAAGGGACCGGGACACGCATTCGTAACAGGCTCAGAGGGTACCGGGCACTGAGATACCCTCCGGAAAACTTGTGCACACCTGGATCCAGATAACAGGGGAGCAGAGGGGGAGAAAGTGCTGTGGGAGATGAGCTAGTCTGCATCAGGGAAGTCTTCATTTCATGGAAACCAGCCACGGGAAGCCAGAGCCCCCTTTCCTCATCCCTCTCCATCAGAGCCGCAGCAGGCAGCTATCACCACATTTTAATTAGATTCCCTCAAGCTGCTGTCTGTATGCACAGAGCTGCAGGGACTGAGAGCCTCTCGTG